AACACCAACAACAACACCAACACCAACACCCACGCCAACACCAACACCAACAGCAACAGCAACAGCAACAGCAACAGCAACAGCAACAGCAGCAGCAGCAGCAGCAGCAGCAGCTGCAGCAACAACAGCAACAACGACAACACCAACCACCACCAACAACAACAACAACACCACCACCACCAACAACCACCACAACAACCCATCAGCAAATGTAATGTAATGTGAGTATTTCTGCCTGAGTTGGGCTGGATCCGCGGCTGGCCGTTCACGACTGTGGCTGTTGGCAGCGCGCTGCCTCCGAGAGAAGCAAGGGGCCGGAGAAGAGCCTTCAGGTGGGTGCAAAGTTCTCTTACTTAGAACTTTACCTGCAACCTCCTGATTGCGAGCTGATTTCTCCACCCCTTGCATCCTTCAAAACCCTCGGTATAACTGCAACGTGCAAACCCGTGCGAACTTTGGATTCTCGTCCATGTCATGTCGTAGCATGACAATTCTTTCTGAAACAACTGTCTGCACTCGGATTGTTTAGATCTCTGGATCAACGACCATTCTCCTCGCGGAGAACTCGCATCCAGAGCCCACTTCCGGATCTTTAAGCTTTACAGTGCGGGCCTTGAGGGGTTGGGATTAAGACTGGTCCAGGGTTGAGTCAGGGGCTGCAATTCTTTCAAGAACCTGCGCAGCTCTTCGGGGCACGAAACAATAGGTGCAAGTCTTGAAACATCTGGATATGCAGGGTTCAGAACGGCAGTGTTCCTTTGCACCTACAACGAACAGCCGTCAAGTCATTTCCAACAGGATCACCAAGCGGTGATATCGGGACCCGTCCGACACCGCCAAGGTAAATAAAGCCAAACTACCTGAACAATATCTCCTGCTGCTTTACCTTCTGGATACGCTCCAACCCTCAATGAACCCAGTGCATCCAATGGCACACCACGCCTCTGCCCATCGGGGCTGCGACCTCGGAGAGGGCAGAACAATAGGGATCCAACGAGTGCCCCTGCCCCTGCCCCTGCTGCTGCTGCTGCTGCTGCTGCTGCTGCTGCTGCTGCTGCTGCTGCTGCTGCTTTGTCTATTGCTGATTTCTGCGCTGCTCCCATGCCCATCAGTGTAGGTCTGATTGCTGTTATTTTCAGTAACAG